CCCTTGCCCAAGTTGATTACATTTTTCGCAAAACAAAAAAAAAAACTAATGCATTATCACAAAAAGGCGGTAGATTCTTGCATATGTAGCAGCAATCCTCTGGATTCGTTGATTTGTAATGAAGATCTTAATAAAGAGAAAACTAACTTGAACTCCATTAGTGTGCATAATAAAAAAATAGTTCAGAACGTCGATGTATTTTCAACCGACCCTGTTGAGTGGGTACGTTAAAGTAATGGTCTGATTGAGTGCATTACAACAAATCAGCAAAATAGAGACTTCAACGCTGCTAATTTTTCAAGGTCTGAAACCCGTTACAATGCTGGAACTTAGCGACGCGCCTGGAGAAAAAAAAAGAACGCAATTGGCTGGTATATTCTGCTTAGAGTGGTTTACTGCAAACTTTGCTTTTTTTTTTTCAAAAAAAACTAGAAGTTCTTCAGCGAAGGTGGATTTTCCAAGTTGCTCATAAGGTAATCAGTGAGCATGAGTAATCAGTTGAACATAATAATTCAATCTCTTTCATTATTAATTAAAGTGAATGCAGTTTCAGGATTAATTGTTAAACAGTTTTAGAGTGAAAAGGAATATTGGAGAAATGTGTTGGGTTTGTCAACAATTTTTTTTTTCGGTGGGAAAGGAGGAGGAGGGGGGGGAATTAGAGAGGTCACTACCGGTAACTTGCTGGGGGGCCAGGATGACCTAAAAAAAGGCCTGGGCCAAATAACATAGCTACATGATTAATAGTTGAAATTTGGAACACTTATACATGAATGTCTAATCAATCTGATTTTCGTTGATCGTAAATGATTTTTTTTGCAAATGTTAGTTTTTCATGCATTTATATTTTTGTTTTTATGACTTTTATATGCAAAATATAATTTTTTTTGTAACCATCACCAAATTAACAAATTTTCAATCCTTTATACAAACGAAAACTCCAAAATTGTTATTTGAACCTCTAGCTCTGTTACCAAATATGTCTTTAAACTTGGCTGGTTTACAACATTTTTTCTATTTTTATACGTAAAAAATTTGTTTACATTTTAAAACAATTATGTGACCTTTAATATTTAATGATTTGGGAATTAGTGACGTTTATTTAATGATGAAATATTGAATTATAAATATATATTTTTTATTTAATAATACTTACAAATTTTTTTTTTGCTTTTTTACAAAAACAACTATGCAACAATACCACGAGAACCATTTAAAGTTGAAGAGCATACGCTTTCTAATTTTGAGGCAACAAAACTAATACCACTTTTAACCATGTTGTAATTCATTAAGTCTTTTTATCTTAAGAAAAACGAAAATAAATTATTATTTTTAGGCAATTAAGGTTAGCTTAAGCCTCATATTACCTTCAAGAGTAAAAGCACATTTTTTTATAACCTATATAAACATCATTTGACACTATTATAAAAACTAGTTTTTTCCGTATCTGGAAACAGTTTATTAGAAAATCAAAAAGTTTTAAAAATTTCTGTTTTTTCAGATACTTAAATGAACTTAACGACTTAACCATACACTTGAGTCCTTTTTGATAGGTATTCTAATATTTTTGGTCCTCTATATGTAATGCTATATTTCGTATATTTATCAGATTTCCAAGGCAGTTTATATGTGTTACTTAAATTTGCCCTTAGGTTACAGTTTTCATTTAAATTTGTTTTAAACTTATTATTATAGTTTGCTGGATAGAGATTATTATTATTAATAACAATAATTTTTATATAGAGATGGTTATTAAATTGAGTTAGCTTTGGGGTGTGGAAAACCCTTTACACCTCCTTTCTTACAGTCGTCTCTGTTTGTCATATTTGTTTATAACTATTACATGTGTTTATATGAGTAGTGTAAGATTGTATTTTTTATATAAAGTTAAATGTGTTTTTAGCTTGTATATATATTTATAGTATATTTTTTCTATGTTTTCAAAGTGGTGCAACTTAGCAACCTGTTGTTAAGTTTTCCAGCCAAGCTGTGTACATATAAATGTCTATGCTGTATGTCCTATTTTTGTGTATTATTGTAGTGTGTTATTTTTGTGATATGTGTTGATTGACAACTTGGCTTTACGTTGGTGGCTATTGATAAAAATGAATGATATGAGGTACTTTTATTACATAAACTATTGATAAAAATGAATGACTTTTATTACATAAACCTCTTTTACTTGCTCACTAAAAACCAACATTTTGCTATAAATGCAATTTATGTCCTAATTTGATTTTATCTTTATTATTGCTAATACTTTTGATCTTTGACACAGTTGGTTGGGTTTTTAATAAATAGAATTCACTTCAATTTCAAAAAAGGTTACTATAAATAAACAGGTAAATTGATTTCCAATTTTTAAATGTGATATTTTTTTCTTTTATACTATGTCATAATTTCATTACTTTTTGATTTTAGATTTATCATGACGTATATATCCATTATAAAAAAATAAAATTGACAATTTTTATGCTTTTTTTTAATTCGTAAATTTTTGTTAACTTGTTGAAAAGATATATTTTTTGCGTTTTAAGTTATATTATTTGATAGTTTTTATGAAGATATATATTGGGAGTATAACTTAATTCGTGCTTAAGTGCGGTTTTTTTTCGAAAATTGAGGTTTTATTGTAAAAAAGTTGTTATACATTCAATGTTCAAAGTAATGTCCATCAGAAGCTACAACATTTGCCCATCTTTCTAGCAGGTTGTGGATTCCATGCCAAAAAAACTTCTCTGGTTTGGCGGCCAAGAACGAATCAAGCCAACTTTTGATATGATCAAATGAAGTGAAGCGTATTCCGGTGAGGGCATTCTGCATCAATCGGAACAACTGGTAGTCAGAAAAGGGCTATGTCTGGGTTATAAGGCGGGTGAGGTAGATATTCCAATTCGGTGTTTTCCAAATAATTTTTTAATTTAACCGGTCTTGTAACATGAGGCCGAGTATTGTCATGGTGGAAAATTATAGCCTCGTGTCTGGTTACACATTCTGACGTTTTTCCACGCCCAGAATATGTGACCAGAATATGTGACCACATATTTCTGGCTCGATTTCAACAGCTCATAATAGAGCACTCCCTTCTGATCCCAAAAAATCAGAGCATTACTTTTGCACTATGAATATTTGGCTTCGACGTTGATGTTGATGGTTGGCCAGGCTTCACATACGATTTCTTGCGCTTAAGGTTATCGTAGTGAATCCATTTTTCATCACCAGTAACAATCCGATGCAAAAACAACTTCCTTTGATGGTGTTCAAGCAGTATTTGCCACATGCAAAATCGCCTTTCAACGTCTTTAATTGGTGCGGCACCCGATTTCCAAGCTTTTGGATGAATCCCAATGCTTTTAAACATTTTGAAATGGCTAATCGAGTGAATTCGAATGGTTTTGCAAGTTCTACTTTCGTTTGGCACAAATCTTCTCCGAGCATTGCGTCCAATTCTTCATCTTAAAACTTTTTTGGCTGTCCAGGTCGTTCTTCTTCTCGAAGTTGAAATTGCCACTTTGAAACCGTGCAAACCACTTCTGACACGTTCTTTTAGCTAGAGCATGATCGCCATAAACTTCCGTTAAAACACGATGACTTTCGGCAGCACTTTTCTTCATATTGAATTAATGAAGAAGAACACCCCGCAAAAACACTTTATCTGGCACAAAGTCTGACATTTTCAAATGAATCAAAAAAGTCGATGTTTACGCTTGAATTTGTGCGACAAACTGGGGGCAAGTGTTAAGCAAAAATTAAAGCGAAAAGTTAAATATAGGTTTTAAAATATATATACAATTGAAGAGCAATAGAAACTTTTTTTCAAAGACAATTTTTTGCCACACTTCATAGTGCAGCAGAAATAAAAAGCAAAACAAAGAGATTTCGTTTTTTATTTCTGCTACACCATAGCAGCATTAGCTTTAAAAAAGGATTAAAGAAAAACGGCTTTGTATTAAAGTATAAAACACAAATATGTTACCTATAATTCAAGCCTGTATATATATATATATATATATATATATATATATATATATATATATATATATATATATATATATATATATATATATATATATATATATATATATATATATATATATAATTTTAAAATAATTTTGCTTTATTTGAGACCCAACATAATACACTTAAATAATTTTTTTTTTAAATATTAGGAACTTATTATATTCCTTGGGGATCTCAAAGAAACATTGCAAGTTCCTAAGGGGCTTGAGGGAATCGTCAAAATATTTTTTATTCAAAGATTTTTAAAAACCAGTTTTTTTAATTATATATATATAATTATATATATATATGTATATATATATATATATATATATATATATATATATATATATATATATATATATATATATATACATGTACATGTATATATATATATATATATATATATATATATATATATATACATATACATATATATATATATATATATATATATATATATATATATATATATATATATATATATATATATATATATATATATATATATATATATATATATATATATATATACACATTTATATATATATATATATATATATATATATATATATATATATATATATATATATATATATATATATATATATATATATATATATATATATATATATATATATACAGGCCCACTGAGAGGGGGGTACAGGCGGTGCACTGCTCCAAGGCCCATAGAACAATGGGGGCCCATTAACCAAAGTATTTTTTTAGAATAATTAAAATAATAATAACAAAAATTTATTAGTGGCATACTTAAAAAATACATATTTTGCACATTTAGAAAAAGATATTCATACACTTAAAAGATGGACATATTTTGGTCCCACTAAAAAATTCTAAAGAGAATCTAACTAGAACTCAACTAGATAAAGCGAAAATAAAGGACACACAGAAAAAAAAGGAGAAATTTCTAGCTAGATTTATACAATCTAAATTCTAATTAGAGATTAAAGTAATATAATCTACTGATTCTAATGATAGTAATGTCAATGATATGGTACAAAATTCTTGTTCCGATTGATTTTTGCAACAAAGTTATTCAAGCAAGAAATGCAACTTTAGATGTGGAAGTGGACAACATAAACCACTTACTGAGACAACTTCTTGAGTTTCGGAATAAATGGAAAGATATCTGGTCAGAATCAAAGAATGTTGCAATGAATTTGGATATAGAAGTCAAACTATCAAAAGGACGCGGTGGTGCAAATCGCAAAAAAGACAGAGTTGTTGGCGAGCCAGAGGATCAAGTGTTTACAGATTTAAATGAAGATGAGACCATGGAGGAATCATGCTTTAGAAGATTTGTTTTCTATGTGGTATTAAATAGTGTTATTGGTGGCCTTACTGTAAGATTCAAAGCAGCACAAAGCATTTCCGATAAGTTTAGCTTCATGTGGAATTATCTCAATATTGATTTGGATACATTGGAAATGAAAGCAAAATTATTAAGTGAAGAGTATTCAGCAGATGTTAGCGAAGATATTGTAATGAAAATAAAACAGTTAAAATCTATATATTATGCAAATTTTGGATCGAATCAATTAAGCCCCTTTGAACTCCTAAATTCAATTAGTCGAACTAATTTACATGGCTTATTTCCAAATATTTGTGTATGCTTGAGAATATTCTTAACAATTCCTGCTTCAGTTGCATCCACTTAACGTTCATTCAGCAAACTAAAACTGATAAAAAACATTTTAAGAACTACAATGCTACAAGGACGGTTAATGGATTTGGCAATGTTGAGTCTCGAATCTTCAATATCTAGGTCAATTGATTTTGACAAAGTTATTCGAAATTTTGCTTCAAAAAAACCTTTGTTTTGTAAATGAACTATTCTTGGAATAAACTATTTGTTAAAATTCTGTTTTTATTAGAACTTGTATATTTGTTGAGATTGGTTATTGTATCATTGAACATGGTTGAAACGTAACAAATAGTCTGAATTATTATTTCAGAAATATCCTTTAATCCAATAATGAAAGAAAAACTAATTACATAAAAAAACAAAACATTAATTCTAAACAGTTAATAATTATTCTTTAAATTAATATTCTTTAGTAAATGAAATAACTGTAGCTAGAAATAAAACTGTAAAGCAAGATTACATCCTCATTGTGAACATTTCAGCCGATTTCAAAAACCAATGTGGAATTAAACCACAATTGATTCAGCAAAAGCATATAGTAATAGTTTAAAATATTAGAATTATGGGTAAAAGGCCCAAAAATATCTTTTGCACCGTCTAAAATTATGGCTCTCTGCGGGGCTGTATTCATATATAAGAAAGATATCATACTTATAAAACATATTCATCTGATGTTTTAAAAAAAATTATTGAAACACTACAGTCAGATTTTTAGAAAATTGATTTTAAATAAATAAACAAATCTATGATTTACACTAAAAAGTTATTAAATAAAAATAAAGTTTAAGCGCGTAAAGATTTTTGTTACATTTAATTCTAATTATTTATATTTTTGTGAAATATTTGTATTATTATATTGATTTACGTTAAAAATAAAGCAACAGCATTGGCTTTTCAGAAATTAATTAACAAATAATCTGTTGCCAAATAAAATATTCTCTGTAGTTAAGAACCGTAGCCATTTTAAAAGTTCAAAAGTTTTTCGTATTTTCTTACGCATGAGTACCTAAACATAGCGCTTTTAACTAATATCTAAACGACGTGCAATTTGTTTTATACGGTGGCTCAATCCTGTCACGATCTTGTTGCACATTTTTGACGCATAAATTAACTTATAAAAACGTCACACTATACTCAAACATTTTGCTGTTTTTTGATTTCCATTGTTCTAGCTGATACATGTATCACTTAGCTTTTTCTAGCTGATGCATGCGTCACTTAACTTTTTTCCAACTGATAAATATATCACTTAGCTTTTTTCTAACTGATGCATGCATCACTTAGCTTTACGCTAACTGATTCATGTATCACTTAGCTTTTTTCTAACTGATATATGTATCAGTTAGAAAAAAGTGCGCGAATCTTGAAAAAAAATCAAGAAGCGACATGAGCACTCATGAGAAGGCTCTTCTGCAGGCCCTTGATGATATGAATGTTCAGCGGCAAGCTTACCATGGTAATGTATTTGTTGGTAATCATTGCAAAATAGTTTTAAGAAACCACTTAAAACTTTGTAGTGTTATTGATGATGCGGCTATTAGAAATAAGTTTTTGCGTGTGTTTAGCGTTTTCAATAAGTTGCAGCCGATTCTTTTTAAGAGAAAGTTTCTTTCCGATGCCGAAGTTATTGAGCTATGTCAGTATACAGATTTATTTGCTTGTGAGTTTCATGCTTGCTTTCCTAATGAAAGTATTACGCGAAAAATGCATGAACTCACTTTTAATGTGCCACTATTTGTTAAATCGCATAAAACTATTGGATTGCTGAATGAAGAAGAAGGAGAGAGTTTGCATGGCGGCGTTAATCAGGAATTAAGACAGTTGCATTCAGTAAGGAATCAGGAACAGAAGCTGCGTCTTGTTTTAAAACGCTTTGAATTGCACAGCAAAGCTGATAGAAAGCTTCAAGCTGCTAAAGTAAGAAAGTGTGTTGTGTGTTCAGAGCATGGCGAAAAATCGTTTTATAGAAAAGGTCTTTGTCTTATTTGTGGCCATCAAGTTCAATTATAATATTAAAAAACTAATTGTATTTAATTAACTTCCATTCTTATCTTTAGAAATTAGTTCGAATGTGCTTCAACAGTTACGTAAGTATTACAGTTTCAGTCATAAAGAATTTTGTCTTTCTGGTGAAAGAATGGGATACAACATAGTTCTAACTGCGTGTACAAAGAGTGTTAATACTACCTTAAGAACAAATCATTGGACCAACTGATAACTAAAAAAATTTCTTGCTTATGAAAATCCACAAAATAAATGATTCTAACAAGTCTTAGAAGTTACACAACAGTTTGTTTCAGTCAGATCATAAAGAAAATTTTCAATCATGAATAAACGAAAACTAATACGAACCATCATAACTTGTTGGATGGGGCATCATTAGTTAAACCTTACTCCAGAAGAAGCATGAAGCGCCAACATTTAACATTAGAAGTCAGTAAGATTATGAAGAGTATTTTCCATATGGAATGGAAATAAAACTAGTATCAATTGCATACAAAGATCGTTTACTACTTATAGAACATATATAAATATATTAACTGAAAAAAAAAATTATTTATGTCAATCCACCAAAACGATATTTATCAAATTATTTAAATTGCCTATATTGTTATGTATATTTATAAAAAATGTGTTATTTTTCCACAGAAAAGTGTTAATATTGTAATATCGATTTAAGTGTCAGGAAATTATTCTACGACCGAAAGCAAAAATAATTGGAAACTCTTTTTGTTTGTTTTAAATCTTTAAAAAAAAAAAAATTTTTTTGCGATTTTTTTATTTCGTCTATTGTAGAGCCTGTATCAGTTTGCATTCGGTGTAAATAATGTTAATATGTTTTATAATTGGTCTAACTATGTTTATATTACATATTAGTCAACAGAAATATATTTTTTCTGATTATTTTTGCTAAAAAGTACCTTTAAAATTTCGAAATTCTGCCAAGTTCGTCATTATGCGTGTTTATTTAAAGATCAGAGCAGCTTTGCATTATTATATTGAATAATAAAATATAAAACATTTAGTCAGTGTTCATATTCCTTTTACAGAACGTATTTATCTTTAATATTTCAAAAGTTATGAAAGTTTGAGTAACACCCCCTAAGTAATTATTTTCAAAAAATAACAAGAAGCCGTATGTCCACTCTGAAACAGCCGTGTATAGTAAACAACAAATGTCATATAATGACTAACTTTTTCATAAGCATTAAATTTACAAATGCTGTATGAACTATTAGCTAAGCATTGTGAATAAGCACAACTTAGAAATTAAATTTCTTCTGGTAGTATAGTATAAAGTTTAAAAATTAAATGCATTCACACATATGTATAAACATAGCAAACACACACATATACATATAATTTTTCAACTTTTTCCATGTTATATATTTCCACATGTTTTAAGTACAGTTTCAACTGATGTTAAAAATGATAGCTGATTTATGCATATGACATTATTTTTGTTTTATGTTTATTGTTGTTTATTATTATATCTGGCCTCGAGCTTGTAAATAAATTTATTTGATTAATTGATTCGTCAATTGATAGTATACTACATCTCAATAAACTCCCATATAACCTTTCACTCTTTCCTACCTCTCTAGAATCTAATATTTTTAATCAAACTAATAACTTTTTCTCTTATTAACTAAATAATAAAGACGATGATGATATGAACGTAGTTGACAAACCAATTAATTGTAAATATATAGATAATAAAAATTTTAACTCTTCATAAATTACAAATAATTGTTTTTCTCTTCTTCATTTGAACATTGCTTTATTAGTTAAACATTTTGATGAATTAAATTCACTTCTTCATCTAATTAGTTATGAATTCAGCGTTATCGGAATAACGGAATCCAAGCTGAAATATGATTTACTACCGACAGTCTTAATGAATATGTTTATGAACATACTCCAACCGAAACATCATTTGAAAGAGCTTTTTTATATTTTATTATTTCTGAAAAACTAATTTATAAACCTAGAAATGATTTACTTATGTATAAAGCCCAAATCATCTACCCTAAAAAGTCTAATATTATAGTAGGATGTATCTATCGCCATCCTAATATGGATATTGACGAATTTAATTTTTCATATCTAGCTGTTTTATTTGAAAAACTTTCCCTTGAGAAGAACAAAACTATCTTTTTAATGGGTGACTTTAATATTGATCTTATTATACCAAACTCAGATTTGTTCCATTGCGGAGTATTTAAAACTTTAACAACTTTCTTCCTTTTATACCCTTACCGACAAGAACTACAAATTACTCAAGAACTTTAATTGATAATGTATTTTCTAACTCAATTTCTAAAGATATTTTTTCCGGCAATCTAACTATTAGAATATCGGATCATTTGCCACAGTTTCTAATTTATCCATCTTTTAAAAGCAAAAAAAGTTATTTTTGCAAAAGCAATACTTTCCTTCGAAATTTCAAGAAACTTGATAGTAATCAATACAAAAACAATTTTTTACAAATAAACTGGGGAAAAAAAAAACTAATTTTTTTAATGGTAACACAAACAAATTATATGAAGACTTTTTTTGTAGCTCTAACTCTCTTTTAGACAAACACACACCACTAAAAAATTTAAATTAAAAAATTTCTCAAAACAAAAAATCTAATTATTAAACTAAATCTTGAAAAAACTTACAAAACCTATAGAAATTTACTTGTAACACTTATTCGACGCAGTAAAAAAAAACATTTTTTCCAGTTATTTTTCTTCTAACAGCAATAATTTGAGGGTTACGTGGAAGGGCATTAGAAAGCTTTTAAATATTCGTTCGGAAGATATCTCATACCCATCTTGTATATCTTCAAATTCAATTCAATTCAATTCATATATATTCTGAAATAGTTGTTACATTCACGGAAGTTTACAAATAGTAATATAAATAGTCAAATAACACCATTATACATGATCCAAACAAAATATCGGAAAAATTCAACTTGCTCTTCATTTCAATACCTGACGAATTGAAAAAAAACATTTACTC